CTAAATAACTTTTCTTGTCCCCAATGCCTTGTGGTTAGGCTTTTAAGCCAAAACGCTAAAGGAGACAAACTCGAACAAACAATCGAAGCGGCTGTTAGGGACCCGCCTGTATCCGAAATTTCCAAGAAACCTCATAAAATATATCCCACTATAGTATTACGACCCATGCCACGGCGTCCGCGGGAACCGACGCGCGCCGCAACCCTGGCCCAGTGGCGCGGGCGAATAATATGCAAACTAGACTATTCAGTCGGGGACGGACTCTTGGTATTGAAGGCCGGAATTTGCGAACGTTCCTGGACCTTGGTACCCAAAGTCTGACCGCGCGCAGCCCTAATCAGTACAACGTGGATGTCTGCTGTCTGTCCGAAGTTCGACTTCATGACTCAGGCTCTCGAGAAGTAAAGGCCCCTGGAGTCCACTCACACTTTCCCCTGTACCACAGCGGCCCGCGCGACTCTTCTGGTAGACACGGTGTGGCGATCCCCCTTTGGCCACGAACATCTCCATCGCCTCTGTGTACGCACCAACTTCGGCTGCCGAACAGCGCGATAAAGATGCGTTTTACTCGCAGTTGTAGGCGTTAGCTGAAGGACTCCCTCGCCGCGATCTGCTGATTGTTGTCAGGGATTGAAATGGTCGGAATGGACCTAGTGACTTTACAGTCGTCTTATTGGCCGCTTTGGGATTGGTTCTTGACGTGGCAATGGCGAGATAATGCTAGACTTTGCTCATCAGAACCGACTGTCGCCAACAAATATCTGCTGACCTGGTATTCAAGCGACGGTCATACGTCCACTCAGAATGACTGCATTCTAGTCAGACCAAGGTTCACGAGCTGGGTTTACGATAGCAGATCGATGCGTGGTGCCGAGAATGGTAGCGCCCATGGGTGGAGTCATGTCCTTGTTCGTACATGCTTGAAAGTTCATCTCACATCCGCGCCAAAAATGCCACGTCCTAGACGCCTCGATGTCACGAAAGTCCGACAACCCAGCACTGACGAGGCCCTGAGCGGAGAAGTCCGGCCCTGCTAAACGACCCAAGCCAACGGAGAAGGAAGTAACCAGTGGTCGTCACTGATAAACGTCAGTCTATGGTGCGGCTGAGAAAATCCTGGAATATACCCAGCGACGCTACAGTGACTTGATCAGAGGAAGAACCCTGGAGTTGTCTGTTTAGAGGGGTCGATCCAGGTTCCGTAATGATGATTCCTTCCGCCAACTCCGAAAG